ACACACACACACACACACACAAAATGGCGTGTGTTTGTCCCTTATCAGATGAAGTCACCAGCAGCATGTTACTTTTATTATTTTATGTTACTATTATTATTATTATTACTACTACTACTAAAAATAATTAAAATGTCCATAATTCTAAATGTAATAATAATCTAATTTGATAGAAAATTTTATTTAAAATAATAATAATTAATATTATTATTACTACTAATAATAACTATAATAATAATAAATAGTAATAATAATCAGGGATAATATGATTAAATAAAACTTTTAACAATTTTTGTTAATTGAAATAAAGCTGAAATTCCAAAAATAATATTAGATGAAAATGTTGCCTTGGCAATTAAATAAATTAAACTAAAATAAAATAAAATAAAATTTGAAATACAACTAAATAAATCCTAAATAGTAATTTTTTAAAGCACATACAATTTCTAAAAATTAAACAAAAATGAAAATGAAAACTGAAAATATAAAATAAAAGCTTATCCAAAATATCAATAAAAACCATTATAGTATATAAATACTCCTAAAATGACACTCATAATAAAATAATATATAAATAATAATAATAATAACAATAATCATAATCATAAAAAGAGGAAGAAGGTTTTGTGATTGGTCTAAACCCCCAGACACAGCACCAGATTATTTTGCAATCTCCAGATCGCACACTCCTTGGAACAACTGCATTTTGTCATTTCATTTCACTCTTTATTTTTCCCCTCCACAATGCAACATGCATCTCTCTGATGACTCTGAAACTGAGATTGCATCTAAAATCCAGCGCCATGATTTCATTACTTGGTAAGTTGCCAAAATAAAGGAAGGCGATGGAGAAGAGGTTTGTGTCACGCTGTATTGTGTCCCCTCAGAAACATGAGTGCTTTGGTACGATGAGGCCGTGGATATTAACAATCCACTTCAATCCATCATATTTTGTGACTTTGAGAATTTTATACCATTGAAAAGACACTGCAAGATTATTCAATAAATATACTGCATTCGACTGCTGGAGTGACATGCTCTCTCTCTCTCTATATCTACCTCTCCCCCTCTTCTCAATTTTTATGCTCGTTAAGGAGAGGCCCTTGATTAATCTGCTAGGAAGCAGATGCCCCTGCAGGGCCGCTTTCAGCGTTTCATTAATTACCACGATTGTAATAACGGCTATTGTGTGCGTGTACTGCGTGTTAGCTTTAAAACGCCACTCTCCTGAGGGAGCATACTGACTCCAGAACAGCCAACGGCCTCTGAGCAACCCCACCACCGTGAAAACTATACCAACTTCTGCCTCCTGCCAATATGATTTTGATCAGAAATAAGAAATTAAAGCCATGTAGAATTTCTGTGCCAATAGTGTAGCCACACGAAATTGCAAAAAATAATGACTGTTTTCAAGTAGGTTTACCAAACACTCCACCGTCTGCTATTGTACAGGATAAACAGGTAGTCTCACCCATAAATATAATGCAAAATTATTTGTATTTTTGATAAGTTGCATGATTATTGTAGGTAAAAAGGCTTGTCTTAAGCAACAATCATTCATTTATAAGTCTAACTCAAAAATTGTAGAGGCAATCTACAAAAGTAAACATACAAGAGACACATTAAACTGACACTTCTTTCAAGACAGTCGAGAAAAGTCCTGTTGGCAGTTGTCACAGGTGAAGATGGAGTCGTCATCTAAATCCTCCTCTCCCACCCTCTCATCATGACTGGTCACACTCTGTTCTCCGTCCTCACCCGCCGCCCGGCTCTCCTTTCTATCAGAGTCTCGCTCTGATACTGCTGCATCTATGTATATACACACACACGCACCGCAGAGAGAAAGGGGCAAGATGTGAGGTTAAGGGATTGCTATTGACAGGTGAATCAAACTTTAATAATTATTTCTGGCCTGTTATGTGTTGTACTTCATATATGTGCTGATGCAGAGCTTTTGCAAATGTCACGGGCAGCAAAACTTACTGTACTTGTCAAAACTTAAATCAATAAAAAAAATAATAAATACAAGCAGGTTGTATCTGGTGTTGGGGAAGCTATTTTGAGACTGCAGGTTGCCAAGACAGAACTTAAGTCTAAACTAAAGTCAAGTTACTTTTTTGAAAAAGAAGTATTCATATACATATTCACACAGACGACATACATAAATACACACACAAACATATATGTTATTAAAACTTTATTCTCAAGCACATTGAGGTTTGAATGAACTGATTGCGTTGCTGTCAAAATTGAACTAATAATAAAAAATGACTAGAAATCAAAAATATAAATCTAAAAAAATATATATATAAATCTAGACGAATAAAAATAGTCAAATATAGTGTTGAACAGCATCATTTAACTTGATTTTACATAAAAAGCTATTTTTAGTAAAAAATTACTGTGCAGGAATTCAGATCAGTGAATCATTTTATGCTTCATTTAATGATCCAAATGATTGACTTACTAGAATAAATCAAACTTTCCAAATGTTACATAAAGAATATGCAGGAAAAAACCAATAAGAGTTTACAAATCTACATTTGAGAGAGGGAGAGAAAGAAAGAGAGAGTAGCATTTAGGATTAACCAATTCACTAGAATGAATCAAACTTTCCAAATGTTACAGAAAGAATATACCAATAAGACTCGCTCTACAAATCTACATTTGAGAGAGAGAAAGAGAGTAGAAGTTAAGATGAACCAATTCACTAGAATGAATCATACATTCCAATGCTGCATATGAGGTAAAGAATCATTTACAAGAACCAATTCACTTGAATCAATTCAACTTCCCAATTCTATATTTGAGAGTCACTAATTGCTAGAAAATGCAATACATTACTGGAAAAACCCCACTGTTAAAAATGACCTAAAAGAGATCACGTTTCTCAGCCTCTTAGCATAAATCTCAACCCTAAGTGTGTCTAGTCTGAGTCAAAACAACATCAAAGCTCCCACGCGCTGCTAGACTGAAGTGTAAGAGAGGGGCCCGAGGCTTCGAGAGCCGCTTGAGCGCAAGCCACCCAGTCACTCGTGGCACACAGTAAGGACCAGTGGAGAAATCTGCCACTGCAATCCTCCTTCCGCCATTGTGGCTCCATTTTCACACCTTATTATCACATTAAAGGCTCTACGCTGAAAGGACTACACACGAGACTGGAGGAAGAGGGAGGAGAGAGCAAGATTGAGTGAGAGGGAAAGAGAGAGAGACCGAGGAAGAGAGACAAGGTGGCGTACAAAATGTGGGGTGGTAAGAGATTGCGAGACAGAATGAGAGCAAAGAGAACATGATAAGATTTATCCAAATTAAGACACAAAGGCCCCCGTCACACCTGCCATTAACATGCGCTTTTGGTGGTCGGATCACAATTGGATAGCACTTGACCACTTTAAAAGCCATGTGATTGCATTGTGATTACCTAGACCACATATGGAGGAAGTCAGATACCATTCTGACCACACTCTGCAAAAGTGTCAATGCTAATATGTTTTGTTATCCGCATATGTCACAAATAATATATAACAAAATCATTCAAATTCACCCTTTTATGATTTGACTGCAAGATCGCATTGAGATCCGTTGATGGATAAAACCAAAACCCTACAGATATAGATATGCAAAATGGAATAAAAGATCTGTCGCTACTTCCGTTTCATCATGACTTAAATGTGAACAAGAGGGCAAACGATCAGGTCACCTGACTTTATAATCAATATCCCATAAATTATTCCACTGGACTACACTTGAAATCTCTCGTTTCAATCCCTAAATCCGCGCTCATGTCAATTCCAGTCTATCCAAACGCGAGGGAGCTTTAAAACACTGTTTTTCACTTTTATTCCCTAATAGCATCCTTCACTGGCAATGTATCTAAATGCAATAGCGCACAACAGGAATGACTGAATTATCCATCAATGTTTTTCAAATGTGTTAAATGATGGAATGCGTTTAGTTAACGCAACTTCTGATGCAATACGCAACCAGTTTTCCATTTCACGTGTAAGTGCGATCAGCTCCAATACACTGAAATGGAAAAGAATATGAAACGTGTTACTGAATAAAAGAAATCAAATAGGCAGTAAAAAAACAACATCGGCAACAAGGGAAACCGAGGAGCTGGGAAAAAGAGCAGGGAAAGGAGGAAACATGAGGGCAGAGGGAGCGGGAAAGAGGAGGGAGGAAGTGGGGGCCGGAGAGAGGGAGGGCTGCACACCGGCTCCCCCGGGCTTAACATCCTGTCTAATCATCCTGGACTTGTGCAATCAGAGAGAAGCAGGAGGTGGCCATTCCTGTGCTCCACACATTCTGATCAGCTCTAATTTGGCCAGGCCTGGTGCTGCATTACGGCGCGCCGCAGCAGCCCACGCTAATGGGGCCTGCGGATCGGAGCCTAGCCAGAGGAGAGCCTGGGCCTCGCTTTGGGCCCCGGCCCAGTCCGGACTGCAGGTGGAGATGGGTGAGGGGGGGCCGGTGGGCTCGGTATCTGGAGGGGCATTTGGATAAGGAAGTGATGAGGTGCTCTAGTTTATTTCGCCCCCACCAGAGCAGAGGGTAGAGAGGTGGGGGTGAAGGTGGGGGCGTCGTGGTGGTTTGGAGGGTGGTGCAGGCTGGGCGAGGGGGTAGGAAGGGTATGGCCATCTGTCCAGTGGTGAGAGCACCGTCTGGACAGGGAGGAGAACGGCCCCTAACTGACACTACACTGATAGAGCCCTGAGCAGTGGTTACACACATACACACACCCGCAAACACACAAAATGTGCATTAACTACACTATTTCATCCATGAGAGCTTCTAATCTCGGGGAAAATGGATGGTGGCAGTAACCCTCGAACACTCCCTACCTCTCCTCACTCAATCACACACACTTGCACACACACCCTGATTCCCCCAGGTACCCTCATGCCAGAGGTACAGGCACTGCCAACCAAGGCACATGCCAGCACAACCTGCTACCATGGCAACGAGGGAGGAGCAGGAGGGGGCCTTTCCCTACCCTTCTCCTCTCTCCATCCCTCCATCTCTCTGGTCGTAAGCGGGGCTTGCTGGCGTACACAGAAACGAGGATAAAACTGGCCGGCGGAGCGCTCGACACCGCTAACCTGCCTTTTAAACTTCTCCATCCTTCTTTTTCATTCTCTTTTTGCATCTTCCTTTCATTACTGTGTCTCTTCCCCCTCCTTTCCCGTAAGCGTATGCCCTCTCAGGAGGGAAGAGGGGAGGGGAGTCTCTAGAGGGGGCCCTCCAGAACACACTCCATTAGAGTGCAGGGCCACCGTTATTACAGGGCTCCATTTCTCTCTCTGCAGTAGAAGATTGATACACACGCATCACGCACCTCAGCTGCGGTCGTTCCACCTCCGACCGCGGCCTTGACAAACACACACGAGCGCAAACGTGTGCATAAACACGACGCATGGTGTGAAGAGAGGCTGATGGACATGGGGTGGGGCAGGGATCGAGGTGAGGTCCATGAACGTTTCGAGATTGGGGTTCACCCAAAGCACCTCGCTTTTTATTTTTGTGCATTTGATGGTGGAAATGTTTAAAGGGATAGGATACATAAAAAATAACAGTTATTTGCTCACCCTCACCAATGTTTTTGCCATATGACTTTGTTCTGTGAGAAAAAGGGAAGACATATGCTCCTTTGCTTACATTTACAATAAAATGGGAACTTCAAAAAGGACATAAAAGAACCATAAAAGTACCATACAATACCTTTTTGCACCAAAAGACAAAAATGTAAGTTTTTTTTTACTGATGTTCTTCCCTAAATCATTGGGTCTGCAAGTCTAATTTCATTAACAAATCATTCAGACTAGTTCTGAAAATTGAATCGAATAATTTGAAATTGAATGATCCATTGCTTACATTTTAACCAGTTTTTCACAAAAAAAAGTGATTGTATGATTTAAAAAAGACTTGAAATAAAGCATATGAGCCATTATGGACCACACTTTAGGTACTTCTATGTGTTTTTGTGTCCTTTTTGAAGCTTGAGAGCTCCAGTTCCAATTGCAGCTGGACTGAAAAGAGTAAAAAGCACACATTTTTCCTTTTGTGTTCCTAAGAAGAAAGCCATACAGCTTTCAACATGAGAGCAAGTAATGACAGATTTTAGCTACACTTTCCCTTTAACGCCCTCACAGGCAAAACCTAGAAGTGACTTAAGGTCAAGGCAAACAGGCTAAGCAGAATCATTCTGAATTTTTAAACACAGGCTGACTGTGGCATGGTCAAGCTCAATGAAATCTGGGCTGTTGAGAATACCATCCAAAGAGACTAAAGATTTTAAAAGGAAGTCATTCAAAAGAACTGTTTTTTTATGTTCTCGGATATATTCTTAGCGCTCAAATAATTCTCCGCTCTGCTCCATACTCCGCTAACATATATCTCCAGCACACGCCGCTCCTGACAGAAACCGTGCTGATATTTTTGTTTCATTACTGTAATAGCTGTCAAGCTAGCAAGTCTGTGGTAAGTGAGCTGCTATCTGTGTTGTTAATGTAGTAGAAATGTGTTAGCGACATAATGTGGTGTTTAATATTTTTATAATGTTGTGCTTCAGGTGGGCTGTTGTGGTTCAGATGAGTATGGGGGGCAATTTTGTCCCTTCAGTGTCCTTTTGCAACGAGTTGGAGGACAGACGCACACACTGGCATACCTCACAACAGGGCCTAGACTCCCTCTACTGTGAGAGGGCTAGGTGAGAAACAAGCCAAAGAGACACAACGCTTCTGTGTGTGCGTGTTTGGTGAGGGTTAGTGAGTGGACAACGGTGTTGCGAACTTGATTGAAAGCTCCAT